GAACAATGAAGCACCAAATCAAACTATTTCCAAGTAGATGAAGTCTTAATATTTCAAGGAGGTAGCTTGTTTTTCAAAGTGTTACATTGGATAAATGCAAGTGATGCAGAAGTTGTAAAATCAATGAGTAATGGCGTTGAACTCAATATCAATCATAAATAATGGTGATAGTGATTTTTTTGTTTTGCCATTATCAAACAGCCCTACTTAGTGATCATTATAACTATTAAGATTTAAAGAAGGAACAAGGACTGCAGAGATAAATATCTGAGTGAACAGACCACTTTGAACATTGATCTAGATTGGCTGGTTGATGACTGTCTGTTCTCATGCATTTAGTCCTCCACATTCATCATTCTCTCTTAGCTTTAGAAAGGTACTCGCTCTAAATTATGTAAATGCTTGTAGAAAGAGTTGCACTCCCTCACTGCACAAATGAAGTTATTCACCTGTTACTTCCTACAAAACATCGGTCAAAAAGCTTTTGGTTGTATTCCCTCTCAGTTGCATGTGTTGTCTCTGCTTGAGACGTCCTCCTCTTCATGGTGGGAGGTACAATGAAAGCTGTTATGAAAGCATTTCCAAGAAGGCCAAAATAGGATCAGTTTCCCTAAACTGGACAAAAGAGTGAGTAAAAATACTTCTGGCTGTTGACCTGGTCTAAGGGGCTTCATGGCACCACTCAAGGAAGCCAACATGTCTGTGTAAGTTCACAAATCACACAACCCTTTATGTTCTGAAGAACAGGGGGTTTGTTTGATTTTGATCACTAACTTATCCAGCAAACAAGGAGGAACTCGCTTAGCGAAGGGATTAAATAAAATAGAACCTAGTCAGCACTTTATGCTTATCTCAATAATAAAATATTTTAAATAAACAATACTACTGCTTTCATCTGTGAATAGAGATAATTGTATTGGTCATGTCTATCATACTAGAACATGTACCCACTGTATATTTAAGCCAAGCCATGAAATTATCAATAATTGACCATTTACTGCCTTTTATGCAAGGAGCTGCATGTATACAAGATAAAAGAATCTAATGAGGCACACTCTTTTCAAATGTCAAAGGCATTAGTCCATTAGTGCCTCCATGTTGTGTAAGCCCTCTGCAATCATAAACCATTGGCTAAACCCACTGCAGGATACCCAACCAATCATGTTCAGAACTTCTGGTTCTTCCTTTATCCATTTCATCTGATCACTCTTACGCCATAACTATTTTTTAGGTTAACAGATTCTAATTCAGGTCACTGTAGCCGCCAATCATGTTGAAGTGTGTGCCACTTGGTTGGATGTTGCCATTTTCCCTGGATCTGCAGTTCATGCTAATTGGTAGAGAACCAGACAAAACCCCTGAAGGGTTTAATCTAGAAATGTAAGGACTGTTTTGATTAGTGATGTTCCTTGACAAATACTGACTAATCTAAAGGTAATGCAACTCAAAAAACAGTCCAGATTGAGCACAATTTATTTAAAATTGTCCGATGGTAAACGATGTAATTTGGTTTGCAGAATGTTGATTACATTAGCAATGCTAGCACCCCCCAGCCTTTGGTCCTCCCTGCAGGTTAACATCCACCTGTCTGTGTTGAATGTGGTTATGCATGGCTCCTGTTTATATGCCAACTTAACGTGACACAGCCATATTTATATCTCATTTCAGGATAAAAACACTGCTAAACCAAACTAGCTGCTCTTACGAGATGCTGTCCATTCAATGTGCTTGTAAACATCCGGGTGATAGAGCTAGGAGAGCAGGCACAACAACCGGAGCTTCAGCCAGACTTTATCGCCAGCTCGGGCTAGTGGCCGTTGTCTGTGCTGCAGTTTGAGCATTTTAATTTGTTTAACCAACTTGAAACTCTGGTGTCGACTAGCAAGGGTGATGTCGTTCAACCGTTAAATCAATAAAACACGTACATCCCTAGTTTATATGCCCTATTTCTATATTTCTGTGTATCTGTTTAACAGCATAATATATTTGTTTTTAATATTTAAGAGAAAAAAGGGAAATAACAAGGAAACTCTGCATTGTAGTAAGGCTTGATATTGACTGTGTGGTCCAAGAGAGTCTGAAACAAGAACTTTAAATACTATGTATGTGTCTTTAAATGATATCACAACCTCCTTCAGCATAGGTTGTAAGAGATACAGTGCAGAGAAAACTGTTCTTCAATGAGGCATACCGTATAGGGCCACACTTTCAGAGAAAAATACCTAGAGCCCCAAGACAAATGGTGTGTCATAGAACATTGCTTTGAATATGCATTACAGTGGTATGGATTGAGGCATGTGTTAGCCTCTGTGCGTTGAACCTTTAAGAAAATGCAGCAATATCCCCCGCACATCTACAACCAACAGTATGCCACCTCCTCCTGTGCTATAATATCACTGCTGTAGTGCAATGCAATCTAAGTGACACAACAGCAAGAAGCACGCAGTGATTCAACACCAACTTTAAAGGTTATTCAAGGCAGCCACCAGCCAATTAATTTAAGTATAAAGCCTATTTGCTTCAATGTGAAATAAAACAACAACACTATTTAGCCTTCCCCACTGATAGGAGAGAATCTAAATGTATGCGTCTACAGATGAGATTATAGTTAACAAATAATATCTCGCCTTTGATCTCTGCAGTTACTCTCCTGCCTTGGATTTATCTTTCTATTTTCTGCCTGTCTAACCCCATCTTAATGCATTTTCTGTACTGTTGGGTGAACTGAAAATTATTCATGAAAACCAAGTCAATAATGGCTATCTCTGACATCTTTGCTGTATTCAGATATACACCTCATTGTCATTCCAATCTCTCCCGACACAACAGGTCCAGAGCCTTAAACTAGCTTTAGAAACCAACATGGAACCCAAAAGCTAAACAGATCCTTTTTTATTGACAATATAGCAAAAGTGAAACTCCTCCTCATGTAACATATATAACAAGGCAGCTATGTCATTTTCAAGGTTAATAGATAAAAAAGAGGTTGCTGTGCCTCAGCAGGTCCACTAATTACAGGGTTAAGTGATTTGATCCCTGGCTCCTTCTGTCCACGATGAAGTTAAGCAATGTGTTAAAACCCGTGGTTGGCATTTGTGAGGCAATGTATATGTGTGTATTTGTGTATGTGTGTGAATTGACGAGTTTCATTAAGAACATTTAAGCAAGATTTTTGGAGGGTTTCACACTCAGGTCCTTCTCTCCAAGAATTTGATGCACGTTCAAGATATTTATCATCACTTAAAGCTCCAGTGAGGAACTCTGAGTTTATGTCTCTTTGCTGATTTTGTTCTTTTTTTGTGTTAAGTAGTGTTTTTTCTCAAAGCATTTTATTTTGCTTTCTTTTAACAGTCACACATATCATATGCTGTGAATAATACTTTGACACCTGCCTGAGCAGCTGTTTTAGGCATTAAGAAAATAACATGAAAGGAAAAAATCGATCTTTGTTTTTGCTTTACAAATGTTACCTCTCACCGGTCAGCCTCTCAATGATTAAGACATGTCTATATTAGATGCCACCAGAGATAAATTACAGACACGGTTAGACATCAAGACAAACAAAAACTGCCATCAACCAACTTCAAACCAAAAATGCATAGTACTAGAAAAACACATTTAGCAAATTATCACTGAGGTACTTGCATCCTTACATAATGATTGAATGATTGTAAGATTCTATAAATATAAAAATGACCCAAGGAGATTAGCTTCTGTTGCCACATGATGACAGGAAATACAAATTTGCTTAGCACTTAATTGGATGTGGGAATTAACAACTTGTAAATGGTTTTCACATGAACTTTACCCTTTTTCTTATTACACATACTTCACGTTAACCTTTCAACACTCATTAACTCTTCTAATTACAACAGCATCTTTTGAATTTAAAAATATCCATACCACCTCTGCTAACAAAATAAACCTTCAACCACGTCACTGTGAAAGCTTAAAAATGCACGTCTTTATGTGAGTTCAATAGGAATGTGATTGTTTTTTTTTTTCTCTAAGATTTATTTTTGGGCTTTTTGTTCCTTTAATGGAGAGACAGGACAGTGGATAGAGGAAATCAAGGAGAGAGCGGGGAATGACATGCGGGAAAGGAGCCACAGGTGGGATTTGAAACTGGGCTGCCCACTTGGAGGACCATAGGCTCCGTACATGGGGCACATGCACTAACCACTGCCCCACCAGCGCCCCAGGGAGTGTGATTGTTAATGGTTAATGGACTTGAGCTTGTATAGCACTTTTCTAGTCTTCTGACTTCTCAAACCACTTTTACACCGAAGATAACACCTACACATTCACACACTGATGGCAGAGTGACCATCAGAAGTAACTAATCCCATTCATACACATGCATAAACTGCTGACAAAGAAGCAGTAGCAATTTGGGGTTAAGTGTCTTGCCCAAGGACACATCGATTACATTTGGCTGCAGGAGCCGGGGATTAAACCCCAACCTTCCAGTTGAGAGACGACCAACTCTACCAACTGAGCCACAGCCGCCCCCCATTGTGAAGGAAACCCAGACAAAATATGGAAGAAAGGTCTGAGATACAGCAGGTTTACCAAGGAGTGAGAATGTAGCTACTGTAGGTAGATAGGTGTGTGTGTGCATTAAATGAAAACGAACACCAAAACGAGCCTAACTTCAGCACTTAGCAAATGAATAAATCCCTCTGATATCATCATCACTGTTATGATGTACATTCACATATTGTTTTGTCAGGGCTGACTCCCTATAATATGCATTGGCATGGAGACAGCTAGAGGCCATTAGTAATGTTTGTCCTTGGTTTTCTTCCCTCTGATGAATAATAAACAGTGAAAAAGATTACTGAACAGTGTTCGGCCCGTGTTCTACACCGACCTGCCTTTCTTCTAGTTTAGACTCCACTTGTGAAGAATAAATCTTTGATGATGTTTTGTAAGTTCTTCCAACGTCTCACTACTGGACCTGTGCTACCTTACTGTGCTAGCAGAGATGACAGACTTACCCTCGGGCGCGTCTGCATCACAGGTCCTTGTGGTGCCAGAAGTAGCGTTCCCAGACGCAGGACCAGCTGAGGGCGTCTGATGAAATGAGAAACACAAGAGGCAGGTGTGTATGTTAAAGAAAGGAACACTTCAACTACTTCTGGTTGTGTAAACAGTGTGTGGCTTTGGAGTAGAGATTTGCTATGGATACATTCGATAAAAAGACAGGACTCGGATACAAACTGCAAAATAGACTTTTAACAGGAAACACATACAACAGGATCTACAGGACAAGAAAAGGTCAAGGCTTAAGAAATTGCACAAGTTTTAACATCAACTTCCTATTAGAGCTGCCACGATACCAGAATTATGAACTTAGATATGATACCAGTAAAAATCAAACTATATCGATATCACAGCAAAAAAAAAAAAAGGAAGTCTTCTATGGTAAAATCCTGAATATTAGTCGAACCGGTTTATAAGACACAGTGCACAACGTGCACTTTTTGTAAGGATGTGTAGCTCTTTTAGTATCATCTGTTTTCGCCTTGTAGGGTTTGCACTTCTACTAGCTACAGTACGGTAGGTGAGCTCTCAGCCTACAGCGAAAGTTGTGAAGTACAGAACCACAGCCTGCGAGCTCTCTGCCCAACTCAGCAGGTCACTTGTTGACTTCAATATAGAGGTCTTTCAGGTTTATTTATGGAACAATATACCACAGTTTTCTTTAAATGCAGGATTTTAGATTAAAAAATAGGTATTAAAAGTGTGTCTCATTTACCGTATTTTACGGTAATTTATTGTTTTGATACCCAAACATTTTAAGCAAACTCCAAAACACACTGTCTAAATTGCATTAATACAAAAAGCTACAATTCTGGGCCAAAACATTACAAATGTATTTGTGCAGTTTTGACAGTGAATATTATTTTGCACGCAGCAGCTTTTAGTTGAAGTTGCGACCTTTTTTAAAGCCTTTTTTCTGCACTAATGTTCATTAAAATAACATATATTGTATCATTTGTAAAACATGCGGTATTGTAAAGTATTGAACAATTGAACATTTTGACAAGCTTCCCACACACAGGCTACACTGAATAAGATATGCCAGGATAAATGACACTTGGGAGACAATAAGTGCATTGAAAACACAAACCAGCAAAGAGGAATAAGCCACATTTACCATGAGTCACATACAGTTCAGTACAAAACAACACCTGGTTTGCTTTTAATTATGCAGTTTGACAGATTTTTTGAGACAAAGCAGAGACACCATGGTGCATCTAAACTAAATGCATACACCCACACACACAGCCACCGAGAGAGAGAGAGAGAGAGAGAGAGAGAGAGAGAGAGAGAGAGAGAGAGAGAGAGAGAGAGAGAGAGAGAGAGAGAGCAGCAACATCAGACGACAGAGAGGGTAGACTGTCACAACAACAGATCCAGATAGTAGTAGCCACACAGTCTAACACAGATAGACAGAATCCTAAAAGAACAAGAGTCCTAAAAGCCCGTAGAGACCATTCTGCAGCCTACACCCAGATAGACCCGAGGGGATATGAACCCACTGACAAGGCCGTCCTTACAGCACCATCTTTCAGTGCTAGCTCTACTCAGCAAGACTGAAGTCTGAGAAATACACAGAAACGTACATATATACTTCTGCTCACCTGTACGAGATATTTCTGGCTGCCATACATGACGTATTGCGGGGCCAGACTGTAGATCATGTAACTGGTGTGAAGGACAATCAGGAGGAGAATCATGCAGAGGAAGAGGAGAGCCTGAGGGCGGGTTTTCTTCGGTCTGATTTTGTAAAGCTGAAAAAGAGGAAATCACAATGTGCAATTAGTCGCTTGTTTTTTTTTTACTTTATAGAAAATCTAAGTAGGGGGAATTTGCTCACCCTAATCCAGAAGAACCAGATGCCCATGTTGCGAATGCCAGCCATGGATGTGACCACAAAGTACATGGTGATGATTGTGATCAGGATATAATCCAACGGGAAAACCTGTGAATCCAAAGACAAGGAGGGTCAGCTACACTATCACATCCACAATTCACGTATTATAGAAACAGCAATTATCCATCATTACAGCTTTAAGAGCCAAATCAAGGTTTATTGTTCCTCAAGGACGCTTAAAAGTTTTTATGAGCAACTATTTGTCAATACCAGTTGGTCTAGCCCAAGCACAGCACATCTTAGCTTGTTGCTCCAGAGAGCAGGGGTTCTCAACTGATGGCTCCTGGACCCAAAAGTGGGTCAAGGAGCAGTTTTCAGTGGGTCAAGAATGTGTATATGGAAAATAAATGGTGTCAAAAAAGTCAATGAATCTCTACTATTGCCTAGAAAATTTTACTTTTTAGTACTAGATTTTTAAAAATATTCACTAGATGGAAATTATTTCCTGGCAAAGACAGCAGAGGTCAATGGCTGTACTGGTAGTACAGCTTTTCATAAATTCTTGGTAACTTTGTGGATATATTATTTTAAATCTGAGGGTAGTTCTTCCTTTAGGTCTGTGTAGCTGTAATGTATAATGTATGTGTAAGACGTCTCATAGCAGCAGAGCTATATTTGGAAAGGAGCCAAGTGTATGTTGTGAGCTAAAAAGGAAATATGATTTACTGAGACTGAAGAAATGTTTATGTCTGACAGTTTCAAGCGAAGGTAATGTCTTCTTTCATGTCTGATGAAGGGCGAGGGCCCAAAAGGTTCCATGTGATATTCCATTAACTTCAATTTAATTGGAGCAGCTTCCAGTGTGCGGACTCAGTACTTTTTCTATCTTTGGATGTTTTTTTGTCCAGCACCCAGTACTTAAACTTTCCCGGATGTGAGTGCCTTTTTGACATTTCTGTTATGTCTTCTTTCTAGCCTATTAGAAGTTTATCGGGAAGGTATCCTTAAATGACTTCTTTCCCTGATTTCCAACTCTATCCACTATCCTATCCCTACAATAAAAGCACAAAAAGCCCAAAAGTAAATATAAAAAAAAATATATATATAATATATAATATTTTTTTACTTGACCTTCAGGGGGGGCGGGAGGGGCGGGCCGCCCCCCCAATATAATGGTAGGGGTAACACTGTATAAGCATGACTGTTAAGAGGAAAAGCTTGTCAGCCATTTGTATTCTGATGCTGTGTTGTCTGACCTCGGCCAAATAAATTCTAAAATAATCCACAGCCCGTCTCACGATGTCCTCATTGAACATTTACCACAGAAACACTCTACACCCAACAATGTTTGTGGGACTACAACAAAGATGGAGAGATCATTTATTCCATTCAATTTTACATCTTACTTTACTGTCATATTATTTTAAAAAAGTTCTCCTTTGCCGATATTATTTGAAGTTTACAAGAGGTTAAAACTCTACAAAATATGCAAATGAAACAATCCAAAATAGGCAAAAGGGTGAAATCCCAAAATCAAATCATAATGACTTAAGTATTGTGATGGTATTTTATCTGTGGGCCTCTGGTTGTTTCCAGCCCGAGTATGTACAGATGAAGTTTTGTCATTAATACCTGAAACATAAATATTGATGGATGACGATCTTTAATGGTCTGATTGAACCTAAACACTGATCCCTAAACAGCATCCAGTCTTGGTGAGGTGCACTTTGTTCCTTAAATAGCAAGGCTGTGCTACTAAACACAGGCTTTAGACGTTTAATCAATGCCGGTATCTACGAAGGCATTTTTTAATGGTCTGAGCTGTCAGTCATTTCTCTCTCAGACTCCTACAGTAGAATATTAAGTTTGAAAGAAGATGATCTGGTCAGCATCCTGACCTGCGGCAATTAACTTGGAGGGAAGAAGAAAAAAAAACGGTGATGATTGTATATGCTGTCAATCTGTATGGATCTCCTTTTAAAACCCAGAAGATGGATTTGCCCCCAGTGGATGATCAATAATCTTTATCGTATGTTATCTTTTCAAATATTGATACAAGGATTTGCTGTATAACCTCATGCTTAATACTTTATATAAATACAGTCTTATAAAATCCAAAGGCTCATACATCTCAGATGTAGATCATTTTTCTGAGACCTTTTCCACATTGAAGAAAGTAACATGGTTATGGTTATGGCCACAACCTCAAAAGCACAGTCTCCCTTGGTCTTCAGTCTGGAGTGTGGGACTACCAGCGAACCCTGATCAGAAGACCTCAGAGATTTGCTGGGAGTGGAAGGCGGTACAATTTCTATGATGTAGGCCGACGCCTGTCCATGCAGGGCTTTACAAGTCATTACAAGAGTCTTGAGTTTTTATTCTAAACTTGATGGGAAGCCAGTGTCAAGAAAACAGAATGGCAGTGATATGCAACCTTTTGGAAGACCTGGTTCATAGTCTAGCTGCAACATTTTGTACCACATGGTAATTATAATTAAATATGAAAAAAGTAGGCAGGGCTGTGATATTAGTCTATATTCAATTGGTGACTCTAGATTGCCCGTAAACTGTAGGTGTGAATGTGAGTGTGGCTGGTTGTCTGTCTCTATATGTCAGCACCGTGATTGCCTGGTGAACAGTCCATGGTGTAACCCTGCCTCTCCCCCAATGACAGCTGGGATAGGCTCCAGCCCCCGGCGACCCCGAACGGCAAAAGCGGTAAAGATAATGGAGGATGGAGAATTTAAATTGTTGTCAACGTTTTCAGTTTCCACTTTTGTACATTTAGCAGATTACCAGGTTTTGTACAATTTACTGAATAGGAGCATGAGTGTGCATGACCTTGTGAATACTTTTAGTCATGAATTGATCAATAGCTGGTTCTTAAAAAACAGTTCTTCCATCTTTAAAACAGATTTATTTTCACATGAAAGCGTCTGATTAATTTTGCTGTTAATTTAAACATTTTCACAGTTTAGCAGCCTTTCCTTTCAACGTCTCTTCTGCTCCCACTTATGGACGAGCTTAATGTGCTCGTCAGGTTGCAATTTTTTATCTTTAGATGCTCCTTTTGAAAATGCAATTATTCTGAAGTTACTGCGGTATGCAAAATGTGACTGTGTGTGTGTGTGTGTGTGTGTGTGTGTGTGTGACTCATGAGGGGATAATTTCTCTGCTTGCAGTTTTGTTATCTTATGGCCTTTGTTAAAATACAAGTGTTACCTATCAGAGTGTATTTAAAATAAAATAGATGACATTTGAGTCAATATGATTCATTTAATGCACGACTCTTCTTCTGTTGGTGAGATTATATTTATTCATAAAGCCGCTGGAGTGCAGCGAACCTCACACGCTTCGAGTGAACACTTTTACAAGTGCATTTAAGGATAGCCAAGAACACAGCTTTTTAAATGATGCTTCATTTAGGTTAATGATGATGGAAGCAGGAAAATATAGCTTTAAGCATATCTTAATTGAGGATAATAATCTTTTCAGCATGACGGATGAGCGGATACTCACGGGTTGTAAGGCTAAGAGAAGTTCATTCAGAGGATTGGTGAGGTTGGTGCCAAAGATGATGAACCCGGAGCTGATGCCAGCAGAGTGGAGCGCTTTGTCCAAACTGAAACAAGCAGAGACAACTTAAATGTGAGTATATAGATCCAGCATCATGTATTTTATGATGAAGACTGGTGTTAGAGGATATATCATTACTTACTTTGAAATGAACAGCGCAACGGTGAAGAGCAGGGCAACCAGGATAAAGAAAACGCCCAACAATATCTGCAAATAAAACAAATAAACAATAAAAAACAGACAGGGATGTACTCACAACAAAAAGGACACATAGTACCAACATAAAGGTTTGCTTTCAAAGGCATCTACTGGGTCAGTGAATAGAACCTTTCTGTCATGTCTTTTGTCAAGGAGAGACCATATGGCTTGGCCAGGCTCAGTTTGGCACCGTTGCCCACGGTGACAGAGGGAAGCGATGGCACAGCTCAGACAGAGCGGGGAGGTTTCAACCAGGGAGGCAAAAGGTGTGTGGCAGCCAAAAAGGCAATAAACCCGATCAACTGCTCGCCTTCGAGGAGAGCCTTATGGCAAAAAAAAAAATTTTTGGTGGTACCAACAGAAGTGACGAGACGCAGGGAAACACAAACATAAATAATATAAGGATCAAATTATATAAAACTTCTTTTCAATACATCATGTTTTAAAATCCCCATCTTTGTTATTTTAATGATTTATTTTATCAAAAAGAACAGAAGTACAGAAGAATCATATTTTTAAACAAAAGCTGCAACGATTGAAGAGAGAGAGAGAGAGCACTGCCTAAATTGAACGAATACACTGGCAATGTTTCAGAACCAAACTGTTGCCAATGTTTGTGCTATTTGATCATGCACAGGAGTTTCTTGTGATAAGAAAATAAGAAAATAACTAATTAGTAATTATAAGGTGCTGTTAAAACAGGTACCTTAATAGTTAGATTTTTGTAGAATCGTATCAAAGTCTAAAAATCTTGGAGTTTGGGGCGCTGGTAGCCTAGTGGTTAGTGCGTTAGTACCCAAGATAAAGTCTGTGTTTTTCCATGATTATCTTCAGGGTTTTGTGACTTCTGTCATGTGTCACCCTAAGTTATTCAAACACTTGTTTTTTCTTGTCTTTTATGTCCTGATGAAGACTCAGCTGAGTAGAAACGTGTCGACACATCCCTTTTAAATAAATGATTTTTATACTACCTCAGACTGCCTCACATTTGAAGCTCAGATTGCCAATTTCTCACCATGAACTTTATTTGCAAATCACCGGGACAGTCATTTAATTATTTGCAATTTCAAAATCTGGTATTGTGCCAACCCTTCAGCATAACGTACAAAAACCACAAAGAGGGTGATATTGAGACTCTGACCACACTGTTTACACCACAGGCCAAGTCTCCGGATAAAAGATTACAATATATATAAAGCTTTTTTTCAGATTCTCACTTTCACTGTCAGACACAAATCAATGCCTGAACAATTATAAACAAATGAAGTAATTAACTAAACAAAAACACAACCGTTTACCCAAAGCAGCTGGGAGAGAAACATCCCTAAGTGTAATTGCTTATTGACTGTAGCATGAATGACGAGCAATTGCAATCAAGAAAAACGATAATAAACACACTTTTCCTTTTGTTTATGTATCCCTCATATCAACAACTAGGGGAGTCAGCACAACACAGGAAAACACGCTCGTTGCAAAGTGTTGATTGAGGCGGCGGTAGTGTAGTGGTTAGAATGCGCGCCCCATGTATGGAGGGCTGTAGTCCTCCAAGCGGGGAGCCTGGGTTTGAATCCGACCTGTGGCTCCTTTCCCGCATGTCATTCCCTACTCTCTCTCTCCCCCCGATTTCTGACTCTATCCAGTGTCCTATCTCTAACATAAAGGCATACAAAGCCCAAAAAAAAGAAAACCTTTTAAAAAAGTGCTGATTACAGGGCGCTGAATAGCTAAGTGGTTATGTTGCACGATCCATGTACAGAGGCTATAGTCTTCTGACCTCTGCCCTGTCCTGCATGTCATCCCACTCACTCATCCAAACATTTTCCTGTCTCTCTCTTTAGATGTTCTATCCAATAAAGGTGAAAGCAACCCAAAAAATTACTTAAAAAATGTGCTGATTACACTGCCTGTATCTCTTTATATCAATCAATCAATCAATCAATCAATCAATCAATCAATCAATCGTTCAAGCACCAATTAATGAAAAATCTTATCCCAAGACATTTACAGAAGAACAGGTAATAGACCTTAAGGGCTGCAGTAGGTCAGTCTGAAGGGACTTGGGTTGGGAACCGGACGGTCACCGGATCAATTCAGCAATGTTACAGTGGTAAGAAAAACGTCCTTTAAGAGGCTGAAACCTCGAGCAGAACCAGACTCTGCTGAGAATGTGTTGGGCTTGTAAAATGGGATAGAGAGATGCAAGAAGGATAGAGCAACAAACAGAGCAGCAACAATGAACACAATAGCAACAAAGATGCAAAAACTTGGTTCTGTAGGGAAAGTTTTTGGCCTTACAACATAAAAAAGGAGAGGCCTTGATGTGATCATAAAAGGTTTAAAATCATGAAGAGTTGGGATTTACTTTCATATCTATTTTTTTTAAAACAAAGAGAATTGTGCTGCATTATAAATGATTCATTAAAAAAAAAACACCCAACTCAAAAAAACAACAACTACTTTTCTAACTAACAACTCACTCAAAACAAAGGTCCAAGCTTTTTTAAACTTTACTTGTTTCACATGTTAAATGAGCCATTTGTGCTCACCACTGGGGTCGACAGACAAAAAAGACAGCATGTGTTTTGAAAAACAGCGACAAGACTGCTCTGGAGAAATCTCAATCCTTTGGCTTATAACTCCACACCAGTGCCAGTGAGTGTACAGTAAATAAATCTGCCATCTCATTACTGTTTCAATTTGAGTCTAGGGACTGTCATAAGCCGCAGCCCTCTTTGGTTCAAGACAAACTATTGCAGACTCTGGGTTTAAATGTTTGTGCACGCCTGCCGTGCAGTAAAATACTAGAAAATGAATAGCTGTGGGATTTCAAAATGTGCATTAGAAGAATTATTTGACCACTTCTTGTGTCTTTAACAAGAAGAAGTGATTCAAACAGCGGGAGATATGTTCATGTCATACATGACAGGGAAATGTGAGCGTGTCAGGCGTGCATGCTGAGTTGTTAAAGAAGAACGTGCAACTTTTTGATCCAGTAGATGTCGCCCTTGAGCACCAGCATCAAACCAAAACAAACTGCGGTGTGGCCACACCTCCTCTATTCTGAAGCCTCCGCTCTCCTCCAGCGGCACGCCTCCAACCCCTCTCCACTCGCGTTCACATGAAGGAGTTAGAATCGATTAGAATGCACCATAACTAAGCACCATTAAGAGCAAGCTCGCCCCGTCCATGTAAACATGATGTAAACATGGCCGGACAACAATACATCTGGCGGGACTCATGCTTCTCACTCATTGTAGACAGTCATGACTCAGAAAGACATTTACAAAGAATAAACTTGATTTCTGATATATTTATGTGGAAAATGTCGCAAATTCTTCCTTAATATTTAATACGCATCCATGAGCTTCTAGCTAAAAGAAGGTTGGTTAACATAACCGATGCATCAAAAGTTGCAGAGATTGATGCAGGGAAAGATTAGGAGCAGTCATGCTTGTCACATTTCTTTTTTAAACTGCTACAGCAGACAGTGTGGGAGGTTGGGATGCATCAGTATCTGTGTTGGCTGATATCAGCCCATTTGCAAAATATTGTAGCATGCACCGATGTGAGCAGGCGATGTTGATCTGTTTTGCTGCATCAAATTGCATCAAAGGAGTTTTTTTTACTGGGCTTAAGAAGTCACCTGTTGGGAAAACTCTGATTTGTTGTTATGGTCAAATGTGAAGAAAAAAATGAGCCAGCCATGTTTCTAATATCTAAAGAGGCCATAATGATGAAGACAGCCTCCATACGATCCAACACCAAAATTATTTGTCTCTTGGAAATTAAAAATGCAGTGCTTGTAATATGCAAATTATTACAAAGAGGCTTATATCACAGCTGGTAATCACATGGCTTGGTTTAGCAAGGATCCAGTGTGCTTTCTGGATCAGTCAGACTTCTCGCTTAGGGCGATAATTTTCTATAGAGCAGTGTGAAGATATGTTCACTGAGTCTTGAGGTTGTACTTCTCAAGAATCCTGATGAGTGTGAACTGTTTGACAATGTTTAAAATGTTATTTTATAACTTATCAATTTTCATTCATAGCTCAAATTCAGATTCAACTGATGTGTAAAATATCGCCCCGAGAAAATATGGGTACAAACGCGTCCAAAAAGTATCAGCATATGTTTAGTCTCACAAAAGTAGTGCGATAACCCCGCCCCCTTCTCTTCCCTCTTGGGCATATTTGACTATGGGAACAACCAAATCAAAATTGCATGTGAGGTCCAGGTATTGGTCCAACTCGAAAAAGTAAATCAGAGAGAAGTTTGTGGTTGCTTTGGTTTATCCCAGGGGAGACGTGGCATCCTGCCTGGAAATGTGAGACTCCCAGGGAGACTCCAGAGTAAATTAGGGGAAGAGACTGCCCATGGGAATCAAGTGAATATGTGGTTGTGTAAAGTAGAACTAAAAGTAAATCTAGAGCAGTCCAGATTAAGAGTTGAGCACAATGAAACAGGTAGGGTGGGAGATGTGGAAATGTGAAAAAAAGAATGACAACAAAAACAGCCAAGGAGAATTTTTAAACACTGAATTTCAAAATAAAAGCCTAATTCATTTTTAGGCCCATTCCCTATTACTAGCCTGGTGCTGCTGCACATTTGGACAATTAAAAGAAGGTCTCAGTTAAAGGCCTTCTATGCATTTATTGTTGATAAGCTTGCAGATCAAAACTATACAAAAGGGGGTCAAGTCCTTAATTCTGTCTCACCTTTAGAGGTCTGAGAGCACTGCCCACTTTAGTGCAGCAGTTCCTCTCTGCGATTTCCAGGTGTCTCCCTCTGCGCCGCAGGACCTGCAGTTTACCCTCCAGCTCCTGCAGGTTGTTTCTGTCCCTCGAGGAAAGGGGACGTCCATCAGTACACTGCTGACAAGACCACAAACAATCAAATAAATCGATGGATACACATGTGAGTTGATGTTTACCTCTGACACAGTGATTCAGGGTTAAACTGTTGGAATCAGTAAGTTATCGAGCTTCCCACAGAGTCCTGAACAATGTGAGTATGAAAGAAAAAACAGCTGATTATTAAACTAACCGATAAAAGCTGTTCAATGCCTCACTCAAGGGCCCCTCTGCAGATTGAAATGCCCTGACATCTCTCCGTCTTCCATATTTTGGTCCACTCAGGGACTTGAACCTGCGACCCTCCATGTCCCAACCCAAGTCCCTACAGACTGAGCAACTGCCGTCACAATTATAAGCATTATAAGTATCTGCAGCATTGTTTCATTCTGTGCAAAAACTTTCTAAACTTCCATTACAGATTTGAACTGGAGAATTCTGGACAGCTTTCCACTTCACCTCAGTCTATCTTTAACGAGCTCTGACCCGGAGAAGGCGGCTGCATTTCTGTATCTGCTTTATATCCTGTTTTTTCCTTTTTGCATGGTAGAGTTTCAGCTTGAATTTGTGACTCCAGCGTTGATCCGTGTTCACAGATAATGACTTCTGAAAGTGTTCCAGAGTCCATGTAGTCCTGTCTGTTTTTAATGCAGGGCCGTCTGAGGACCTGAAGGTCGCGGCCATCCAATATAGGTTTTGCCTTGTTCCCTGAATACAGAGATTTCTTCAGATTCTTTAACATGATTCTTTACAGTTTCATGTTAAAAAAAACATTCTTTAATTGATGCAGATGTTGCATTAGGTATTTTTCTTCAACATTTCATAACTTTTCCAGTCTTTTGTTTCTACTGTGCCAACTTTTGTGAAACGTCTTAATAATAATAATAATAATAATAATAATAATAAAGTGTATTTATAAAGCACTTATCAAAACCAACGTCACAAAGTGCTTTACAGAATATAAAACCCCAACAGTAAAAACACACAAACAATAAAATCTAATTAAAACCATGAGAATAAAACAACAATTTAGCAATCAAATTATAAAACAGAGAATTAATTAGAACTAAGTCACAGATCGACTCAATTTGACAGTAGAAGAAAATTAAACATCATGGCTACAACAAGGATTACAAGAAGGACAAATAAACATTTTTAAAAGTGATTTAAAAGAAGATACCGATGTAGCCAGTATGAATCCTCAGGCAGGTCGTTCCACAGCCGAGGAGCCCGAGCTGCAAATGCTCGTTCTCCTCTGGTTTTTTAAGTTTGAGGTGTTAACAGTGAGGAGGTCGCTGCCTGAGGATTTCAAACTGGACGGCATCAAATTCCAAATCATATAATAGTCCAAGAACAATGACATTTCACGGTTTCTACATTTTACATGGTGGTTTTGTTGCTTTTTCCAGTCAGCTATTGGGTTTTATTGTTTTGCAAATGATCACATTCCGCTTCTTTTTACATTTTACAGTGCAGCACAACTTTTTGGGAAATGGGGTTGTACTTACAGTCTGTGCTTTGTATTGTGCATGTCAACTTTTAATAAATAAATCAATGCAGGGGACAGAGGAGGAGGAAGGGGAGGGACATGTGCATCAGTGTTTAATGTTCAACTCTACTATTAACAACTAACAGATGACTTGTGTTTTCCTGTTTGTGCTGCCTTCATCTGAGGCATTATTTGATAAGGACAATAACAACTATCCATAATTGCACGCTGAGACAGCGAAGCATGGCAGAACGATAAGTAGGAGGGACTGCTAAGCTGGAGGCTATGCATGTGTGCCTTTCAATGAATGCATGATTACACACTAGATAATAATAAAGCGTAAAAAAGGAAACAACAAGAATTTGAATGTTTTCACAGATATAATTGCTGTTCATGTACTAATCTGTCGTCACACTACTTTTTGCTCTATAAAGTCGCTCCATGACTTGTACATCATGTACGCTGCATGCTGTGTGTTCTTTACGTGAGACCAACCTTGGACTTCAGCTTCTCGATCTGGTGCTCAACATCATCAATGTCCTCGGTGTTCTCCAGGCGCTCGTACACCACGCTCCGTGTGCCTTTTATCAGATTCAAAGGCAGTACAGACATACCGTAAGCCTGCAAGAAAAGACAAAGAGCAAACCAACCATTACAGTGACACTTTATTGTCAAAGTGGGATGGCACGCGTACCCACACAATGCCTGATGACAAACACATCACAATGAGGACAACAAGTCAGAAGAACTAAGTAAACACACACAAACTGGAATCATGTATTTTCTTGGCCTCCTAGGCTGTGTCATTTCTTTTGGGTATGTCGGGGTGGGGGGGGGGCAGAGAGAGAGATTAAAATGGAGGAATCTATAATTGTCCTTAGGTTTATTGGTGAACTGCTGCAACCATTTTGTGTGGATATCACTGCCTCAGATCACTCTGGTGCAATTTACAGCTTAACAGTGCCCCCATGTGACAGCACAATCCTCCATGCAGGATGTGATGAAACATTTATCAGTGGAGTTTTAGACAGAAAATCTGGGTTAAAGGAGAGGGCATCGAGGTGTCATCAATGTTGAATGACGTGACTTTAAAGCAAAACATACACTTTCCTTTCATATTAAAGGTACAGTGTATAAATAATGAATAATATGCAGACATACAGTAAGACGTACACACACACTAGATGCAGTGACAGCGATGAGGGATGGAGAGATATGTGCACAAAAGACATTTTCAGCTCTTGATGGGCTTTAGTCTCTGGAGGGGCTGTTTGAGCTTATATTAAAAACAAGAGGCATGTCTTATACGAGGAAACGCACCAATCAATATAAATCAAAATCGCAGCGATGGGCTTTCTTGCTCTCCCAGAATGCATCTCGCTTTAACTAACCTGGAGGAGCGCCATTTTACAGGGTTCATAATAAAACAAAAAAAGGTCTTCTGTGCATAGATACTGTCAGCCCTGTCAAAAAAAAAAAAAAAAAGACAATGCGCTTTTATTTCTAGATTTCAACGTCACAGCCAATATCTTTGTAAAACAACTTTTACTACTTTCTGAGTGTTAGGTAGCATTAAGAGAGTCGCATGGGATAAGGAGTCAGGCTAGACTATTATTAGTCCTCCGCTGTGGATCTCAGCTAGGGGCGAATGTCGCCTCCTGCAATGAATCATGGAGCTCTTAGGGCCGGAGCATGTCCCGAATATCAAACACACTCATAAAAGGAAAACCTGTCCCTGATCCCCCGAGAAACATTTCCTTTCTCCCTCGAATGTGCAGCTACACGGGAGAAATAGAAAAAGGGCGCACACAAGAAAAAAACAGGTGTCCCTCTGCAGAAGCATACATTTACAGTTCACACGTAATCATGCATGCTCATTAAAGTTATTTTAAAAACCCCTTGTGGTCAATGAGAACGAGCTTAGAGCAGTGAGGGTGTGTGTGTGTGTGTGTGTGTGTGTGTGTGTGTGTGTGTGTGTGTGTGTGTGTGTGTGTGTGTGTGTGTGTGTGTGTGTGTGTGTGGGTTAAAGGGGGAGTTAGTGGGTGAAATCATTCATAGAGTCATTTGACTGCTGAGTGGGAAGAGGGAGAGATAGGTGGACATGGGTCTCCGACACAAGCCTCCTCTTTGTTCCTTTTTCCACATGTGACCATGGAGCCAAAATGGAAGCAGGGACAGGAGCGCCCTCTACATTCTCAAAAACTTTTTCAATAAAAGAGGTCAATCCAGCGTAACATAGCAAATTAAAACTATCTCAGAATACATGTTAGCTTTTGGATTATTCCTCTCACATGAAATAACTAAAGCAATTGCATTCAAAGACGTTAAATATAACTCTACACATTCCCATTAATCCTGCAAGTTTGGCCGTACTGCCACTTCTGCAGGCTTTCCTAATTCCTTTTGATTAATAAGACAATTTGGCTGGCTGGAGAATTTAACAAGACAAGCTCCAAAAACCTGACGTAGAACAGACTTTCAGACTCTGGCACCGAATGAACTCAGTCTGACGTCACGCTTGCAGCTGAGTGAAGTAGTCTACGTTAGCTGTGGGACTAACTCCTCTCACTCACTCACTGAAATAATTAGTTTATCACATAAATAACATTAGGTAGACATTTCTATCACCCCAAAACATGAGAAGAAAAATCTAGTGGCCCATATGTGTAACGGGCTTATGTTTGTCTGTGCTTGGAATTGGAGGATGATCCGGTTGATCCGGGTTATCAACTCTTCTCCACTCAGTGTTCAGTATATATAATTCAGTTGTATTACATGTCGCCTGAAATATTTCCCATTAATCCATATCTAGAAGCTTGTGCACAGATTCATATTGATTAACTGAGATGACAAAGAGATGATGGCTAATTGCTGCATCTGCCAATTTTGGGTTGCTCTTTAGGCAGTGGTGAAAATGTTTGATTCAAAATCACATCAGTCCAGTTATTTCTTGATGTGTTTATCACATTTGTACTCAAATATAAGATAATAGCCATTACTCCTCCCCTACAGCATTTTTGTTTTCATTGATTCATTGCATATTTTAATCTTTCCGAAAAAATTGCACACTGTTAAGTGCATGCCTTAATTCTTAAAGGAGCAATATCTAACTCTGACACCTAGTGTTTAAAATGAGTACTGCGGTCTAAATACAAACGTTGAAGAGCGCTGTCTCCTCCCTAGAGTTGATGTACACACAGGTTGCCATGTCACAGACACTGAAGCTTCAGTGTTTATCCAGCTCTGCATGGGTCTGTAAACCTTTCTGCATTCTAACCTCTCTCCATTTTTCAAAAGCATCTCCAATATTGATCCTAGTTTGAGCACGTTTCTGCTCGTGGAGCTTATTAGAAACATGCAGAGGCTTTAAAAAGTTTGGGTAGAATCACTTCTATCTGAACCACTTCTCTTGCCCGCTTCCATCGCTACAACACCTGTTGGTTTGCTGTTTGCCTGGCAAACAGAGGGGCGTCTAAAACAGTTGTGTGAAAGTGCCTTAAAAACCGCCTACCTTCTCTGGTCCAAACAAAAACAAATCAGAATCAAAACTCAGAATACAGGCTGCTGCGTTGCTGACAGAAAACACTTCAATATAGCATGTTTCCTTAATGTCTGATGATGTAGTTAAGTCCTTTTATGATTGAATTCAGTAAATATCTTACATGTTGGACCTTTAAAAGACAAACGTTGCTAATGTAGTAGTGCTATTCAGACAGAGTAGTCTTCTCTGCTGTGTATGCTCATAAGAGACATAAAAATAACTTTCATGTCTTGATGAGAATCCAAAAGGACTTGAGAAACATCTAAGTGGACCACTGCTGCTCTCTCTCTCTCCCCTTCTCTCTCTCCAGCAGCTTCAGGTTAAAGATATGCTTTTTTAAAAGCTTTGGTATTTTTCAATAACGATCGACAAGTAAAATAAAGTATTAAACATTTTGACAACCTCAGACTGCATCTGGCCGTCTTTACAGCAAAGTTTAAGTTACAGGATAAAACAAGGCAAGAGCTGATGTCAAAAAGAGATTGTGTATCAGGCTGCTTAGAATGTCACGCAGCTTGATGTATAACTGCTAGCTTGTTAAAAGCTTCCTGTTGTTAGAGTTAGCACACCAGTCTCTACGGGAGTCAGCCATGATTGTCAGAGTCCATCCCTCTTAGACCAAGACAACAGAGAGAGAGACAGATGCATTTCACTTCAGTCATTATGCTATTTTTTTACCCTCTTTGTTCAGTCATCAGAAAACAAAATAAGGGTCTGATTTTGTGAAAAAGTTAGATGCTTGTATTTTTGCTTTTTCATTCACCCATTTATAATAATCCATTGTTTTGCTTTGTTTTTATTCATCTTTATTCTTTGTTCTTGTGATACTGGTAAAAGTAATGCTCTGGCCAATACAGAAAGATTCAGATTAATGCAACTATTGTTCGACTTTGGTTCGAGTTTAACAATTTGCTCCAACCAGAGAAAATTAACGTTTCTGGAAAAAATAAGGATGTCCAGATGACTTCAAGAGTCTCACATGAGATATTAAGAAACAGGCTCATTCAGATATGTAATCCTGTGTTACCTGCAAGAGTTCAGTTTTATTTAAATACTGGTCATTTAAAATATTTAGTTTGGACTATACTAGAACACACTGAGATGGTCGTAGTGCAGGGGTTAGGAGGCCTTTATCAGGCTCATTAACACACAAGGGCTCCATGGGAAATTGTGTTCATACAGTTAACAGATTACTCTCTATTCTATGAAGTATCATCTTTTTTTACACCTGCACTCCTGATAATTGTCTGTTCTGGAGTCGTTTTTTGACACATGCACTTCACAGTGGGAGACCTTCCCTGTTGGACACGAGGGGAGGGAGTATGTGTAGTTGGATATATTCACATAATCGATGAACAAGCGGTATAACTCACTGTAACCACTCACTCACGCTTCCTGAATGTTTCCTGCTGCTTTCTCACCTTGACTTCACTCCCACAATTTCCTCGAGGGCTGGCAGGAAAAATCTACCATTTACGTTCACACGTGAAGCTTATCCTGAAAGATTTGGGGACATTTTCAGGAAACAACGTATTGTTTATTTTCACCCCTTAACATGTCCTCCTCAGACTTAGCTAACGCTGTGTGTTAACATCGTTCAATTTGACAAGGCTTCCTAATCATTACAATCATACACTGCTGGAGTGATGACCCAGACTTTCTCTAAGTTTGTTGTAAAGACTTCTTGGCTGTAATCCATGGCTTTAAAGGTCACTTTTAGGTCACCGCAAAGGGCATGACACCAAAAACTTGAAAAACAAGGCCACATATTATTCACACAGCTCCTTTAACTTGATTTATACAGTTTTAGTGTGAATCTGTGTTGATACTCTTTTCATCCAGTATTGCAAGAATAGAAACTATTTCACAATGAACACATTAGAATTCAACGAATGAAAAGCAGAAACAGAAGGTCACCGGCGCTGACAGCCTGAGTTCTAACTTCTTATAAAGGTGTTCTGAGTCTTGTACCTGACCTCTTTTTTAAAGCTTTTCAAACCCTTTTAAAACCAAGTTCATTTCCAATGCTATGATTTATAATGTGTCCTTGATACTCGAACGGGGAACACTTGGTGATTTT